GGCTGCTTTTACACTCTGGAAATACCTTGCTCTTTCCAAGTGATGCTCTGCAGAGCCTGCCCTACTCTGTATGGTACTCTGAGGAGAACAGGCTGTAGGGGCCTTTTCTCCTCCTCCCAAACCCCAGGTCAGGGTCCCTGCCGTTCGGGGACGAAGGAAACTGCAATGTGTCAGTGCATGGAAGCAGCCAGCCCCGCATCCCAGGAGCCCGCAGAAGCAACAGAGGAGCCTGAGCATCCTCAAAACATCCTCATCCATGGGCCTGCAGCCTTTTTTTTTTCTCTAGTGGTGACAAATGAGAGCTGTCCCTTCGGTGCAGGAGTCACCACTAGCACAGAGGGCCTTTCTTTAAGGGTTGTGAGCCCTGACCTTCAGTCTTGCTACCCCTGCCTTTACCACCGTCTTCCTACCTCCCAGCTGCAGCTCTCCTCCACCCCTCCCTTTCTCCCCCAAACAGGGTAGGGGAGCAGGGGCATCGTGGCAATGCCAGCAGCATATTGCAACCCAACTGTCTGCCTCTGTTCAAGGTCACAGGGCAAGAGGGCTCCAACAAGGCCAACTTGTCCATGCCATGTGGTGAACCAGATGGTCTTTGCTCCAGCCAGCTCATGGCTGGGCCCATCCCACAACTTTACCCATTGCAAAGCATATTGGAAGAAGCTGCTCCAGGAGAGAGCACAGCAGGTGGGCAAAGCTGGAAACCAGACCATGGCTACCTACCCTTCTCATGGGACTAATTTGTAGGGCCTGGGTTTGAAGTAGGCAGCACAAGTTGCAATATTGGTGTTTTGCCTTTAAGTCCCATAAGTCAAGTAATCACAGGAGACCCTCTACTTCCATTTGTTTAAATGAGCGTCTAGCCCTCCTGGTTGCAGAGAAAATGTTGATGATCTGAACCCTGTAGGCTCAAAACTGAAAAGCAAATTAGCACCCCTGGGTGTTGTAATTTTTTTAAAATCACTCTGATGATTTAAAGCCCATTTTTCCTGCCTGAGGCCTGACTCATGGTTTCTGAATCCTTAGCACCGGGAGCAAATCCCAACTGTTCCCCAGGGATATTTGTCAGCAGGAAGAAAGTTTCAGGGGGAAGTAAGATCCTGGAAGCTGCTCTTCCCTAGACCTACGATGTAAAAGGGCTAGAAGTCCAAGGGGCAACTTTGATACGGCTGAGAGCAGGAATTTGGCTTAACAAGTGAATACAGCCCCATTGGCTGGAACAATCCTGCTTCACAGGGGTATGAAGAGAAGATGGGAAAGACCCCAAATGCTACAATGCTCTTCGTCCGCCCCTTCTCCCAAGTGCACACAGTGGAACCGCTAGCCAAATGTGGCTGGGAATAGATCATCTTTGTTACTAGCCAGCATCCTGTTCGGTGTTCCCATAGAGCACCCATTCATCTAGGTTCACTTCTGCAAGAGGCTGTTTGTTAACTCCAGTGCCCTGGCCCAACTCCAATTTGGATAACTGCAGTTGTGTGCCTGATCTTCCTCCTACGGTTTCAATTGGATACGGTATTCTCCTTTCCTGCCTTCATCAAAATGTTGACTCTGTTTCTGTGCATCATTAAACAGCTGCTGTATTTCACCCCCGAGGCAGCCTCCTTTCAGTGCCGGGGGAAGCTAGTCTTTGGGCTCTTCAAGTTTGCAGATTGCTTTGGGATATTTTAGGCTGCAAGTTGCTAGAAAAGCCTTCACTGACATATATGTACGCACAGGCATGCATACGTCTGTATACATGTAGCCGCGGTGCTCTCAGCTGCACATGGCAGTCTGTATGCTATTCACATGAAATCATGCAGCCATATGCTCCATGAGACCCCTTAGAAACAGGGGAAGGAAGTCTCCAAGCAGCCCGTGGAGATCTAGTTACCAATATGGATCCCTTTCACATGGAGGACACATCTCTTTGCCTCTCTTCTAGCAGGCACAACCTTGATGACTGACTCTTCTGCCTCTGTAGAGGTATCCAAGAAACCAGCTTGATAAATGAAGCAGTTGGAGACAAGATGGGAACAGGAGTTATGTCCTCCAGGGGCTGCTTTGGGGTGAGCAGAGAGGCTCTGTTACACCCAGGGTAACTCAGCAGTAAGTAGCTTGTGTGTTGGGTACATCTGCTCTCTGGAGGGGAGGTTAGGAGGACTGAGTCTGATGTATATGTGGCTACTTAGAGAATGACCTCCTGGCCTGTAGCTCTGAGCGGCTCTTGACCCCGTCATTAATTTGTTCCACTCCTCTTTGCATTTCTTTTAGGCCAAGAAGAAGCCGAACAAAAGGGGAGAGAGCCGGCTACAGGTCCCTTGCTCCCGTTTTCTATCTCTTGTAGCAGCCAAGGAGAGTTGCCCAAAACTGCTGTGCAGAAGTGCAACCAGCTGTTTTTGTACCCTGGGCGGGGGTAGCGATGGCAGCAGCCACGCCAGCAGCAGTGGCCGCCACACATCTTGTGCCTCCTCTGCGGCAGTGCCCAGGCTGGGTGCCGCACCGACGCTACTGCAGGTGTGACTAGACCTCGAGGAAGCAGCCTGGCCTCATGACATCCCTCTCCATAGGCCCTGATGGAGGAAGCGTGGCACAGAGGGGGAAATGTTTGTCAAATTTCTTCTCACACGTAACATATCCAGAGGATTGGGGGCATTGTGTTTAAACAGGCAAATAAAAAAAAATGCCTTTTTGTTCCTCAGCTCAAATTTCAGGGCAGCTCTAGGGAGGAAGAGAGCAGTGTTAACCCTTTGCAGGCTACCTATATCCCCAGTGTAACTGCAGCACCCCAGGCACTAAGTTATGGTCCCACCTGTGGCAGCACTTTGTGCTATCGCCTCCTGGCTCCCTGCTGTTGTTGGAGGCAGGGAGTTTGCACCCAACATGCATTTGTCCCCCATCTCCATCACCCCCCCCCCCCCTT